TGGAGAGGTTTTTGCTATAGAGCGCATGCGCTCGCCAGACAGAGAGAGACAGAGAGACAGAAAGTGAGAAATCACCCCCCAGGGGGGATAGCCACGCCGCAATCCTTCTCTGCCATTCTCCTCTCGGGATCTTGGGCACGCACGCACACGCACCCGGCGTGAGTTTAAGCCACTGGGTCCGGGACTCGAACCGTGGTCGACTACATGGGAGTCCAGCGACATAGCCATTACACCAATTAATGCTTTCTTTCAATTCATTTACTATCTTCTACATCCAGTCTTCTTTGCAGTGATTTAATATATACAGGAGAATATTACAAAAGTTTTTTTTTAAAAGAATGAGATTCAATATATTAGTTGAAGCACAAACCTATACAGATAGGATACTGTGCATAGATTTGTGGAAACTTTCCAAACGTGATCTATAAACAAGCTCCCACATACCACAGGCCAACTCTCTAACGTATACACTGCTTTTTATGACAAATTACATGGTGGTATTTAAAGGGATTAATACTAGCTAAAGCTAAAACCTAAATCATCTAAGCAAAAGTTAAATTTAAGCTGCTAGAGTACTAATCATGTCCCTTAACTTCACCAACTCCATCGCCAACACACAGGATTTCTCTGACATGTGTACAGATTAAAACAACACCGAATGCATTCATGATAGAATTGCTTTAATCTCTAAATGAAAAAGCAAGCTAATTATAAAGTCAGAAGTTTCTCAAGTACCATAGTAGAGAAAATAAATCTTACCTATAATCTCAACATAGTAAGTTGAATGTCATCAATTAACTAGCATAATTGGAGACCATACTGGTTAGATAGTAATGGGCAGAGTATTTCTTCACAAGAAGTTTGGCTATTAGGAAGATACCATATATAGATAATGTTCTTTATTTTTAATATGATGAATCAGTAACATATTTACCTCAATGTTTTCATTTGCAAGATATAATACTCCCAGGTTGGTCCATGCAACAGCATTCTAAAAAACATATAAATTTAAAAAAAAATAAAATTAGGCCTCCATCTACTTGCAAGTCTCAGAAAATCGAACGCACTAAATTTTGAAGTTCTTTTTCATAGACAGACACATAAAACACTCACAATTTGTTCTGACTGAATTGATTTGATGAAACAGTGCTGAGCAAGGGCATAATTCCCAATACCTGAAAAACACAGAATTTGATGAAATTGAACTATGGTACCTGAAACACAATCTTTTAAAAATATCGAAGTGTGACTAGCTCTCACCACTGTAACAGGCAACCACACCAAGCGCATTCCAGTGTAAGTGATTGCGACTGTCGAGTCTCACTGCCTTTTTCAAACACTGGAAATAAGTTAAATTGGATTAATTTTGATTTCTTGGAATATCAGTATTTATATCAAGATAAGTACGGTTTTATGTGAAAACACTACGTCGAGAACAGCTTTCAAAAAGGCACTTCATTTTTTCCAATTTTATAAAAACAGGTCTCCAAGCCATACCTGTAAAGATTTATCCAGCAACTCTTGAAGATCATCCGTGCTGCTGCCTGTTTCTGCTAGGTGCTGTGCTTGGCGATAATAATTAATCCCAAGGTCACACCATGTATTAGATGTAGACATCAGCTTTAATGCACGACCGTAACACCTGTGGAGATATAAAAAGCAATGTTATGAATGTCCTAATTCAATCTGAATGTCATTAACTCATAATTGTTGTAAATTACCTTCCTCCAAGGTGGAGAAGCTCATTTTTCTTTAGTATTTGTTTTCCCTCTTTCTGGCCCAGAAGGACTCCTAAAACATGCACGTGCACTTTAGCTGGTGAGACAGCATGCAGACTGGTGCAAGCATCGCCCACCAGCTTCCAAAGGCAGGACACATCAGCTCGATGCTGTAGGGCCCTAAAAAAAGAAATGGTATGATTCTCACAAATGATTTCCAGAAAAATATGATGTTTCTCTTCTTCATTCCCATGTACAATTAAAAGAGAAAAAAATTGCACATGCAATCCTGATTAAGAAGTATTTCCTTAGTTACTCAAGGTGAATGCCTTATTAACCTCCTCCTGACCGAATCAGAAAGAGAAGAAAGATGGGAGAAATTGACCAGTATTTTAAGCTAAGTGTCAGAAATTTTGCAGACTTTTTTTGGTATTCTTTACTATTTTTGGTAAAAGTAGCAGAAATCTCCTAAATACATCAAATAATGTGCAAGGCTAATTTACTTTAATGTTTAAGTTTTTAAAAATTTTTAAGTAATTATCAATATATACATATTTATTCAATTCATTATGAGACACATGTGCTCACCAGAGAGAGAAAGAGATAGAGAGAGAAGGAAACTGAGAAAGCAAGCCACAGGTACAGGACTTGAACCACATCAGTCATGTGGGAGCCCAGCACCTCAACCACCATACCACCCACTGTCCCCAATATTGAATTTTTTTAAAGAATTATTTTATTTAACTTTATTTATTTATTTATTTTAATTTGACCAGAAAGAGAAAGCAAGCCCTCAGGCCTGGGACTTGAACCATGATCAGCCATGTAGGAATCCAGCACCCTTAACCACCCATGCCACCTGCCAGCCCTGAATTTTTTTTTAACTACACTCTTTTTGTTTGTTTAAGTGATGATCAAGGCCCTAAAGTTGTGACTCTTGTAGTTAGCTAACTATTGAAAACTCAGGTTTTTACTTTTAGACCTTTCCTTGAATGAAACAAAGACTAATAAATGTATAAAATATATTCAGTATTCCAAAGGATTTTTATTTTCTGAGACAAAAAACAATAAAAATTTAAACATGAAAACATGAGGACCCACATTTATAGAGGCATGTAAGAGCAGACTGAATGACCAAAAACAGTAAATAGAAAAATTAATGACAATGTTATGAATGTCCTAATTCAATCTGAATGTCATTAACTCATAATTGTTGTAAATTACCTTCCTCCAAGGTGGAGAAGCTCATTTTTCTTTAGTATTTGTTTTCCCTCTTTCTGGCCCAGAAGGACTCCTAAAACATGCACGTGCACTTTAGCTGGTGAGACAGCATGCAGACTGGTGCAAGCATCGCCCACCAGCTTCCAAAGGCAGGACACATCAGCTCGATGCTGTAGGGCCCTAAAAAAAGAAATGGTATGATTCTCACAAATGATTTCCAGAAAAATATGATGTTTCTCTTCTTCATTCCCATGTACAATTAAAAGAGAAAAAAATTGCACATGCAATCCTGATTAAGAAGTATTTCCTTAGTTACTCAAGGTGAATGCCTTATTAACCTCCTCCTGACCGAATCAGAAAGAGAAGAAAGATGGGAGAAATTGACCAGTATTTTAAGCTAAGTGTCAGAAATTTTGCAGACTTTTTTTGGTATTCTTTACTATTTTTGGTAAAAGTAGCAGAAATCTCCTAAATACATCAAATAATGTGCAAGGCTAATTTACTTTAATGTTTAAGTTTTTAAAAATTTTTAAGTAATTATCAATATATACATATTTATTCAATTCATTATGAGACACATGTGCTCACCAGAGAGAGAAAGAGATAGAGAGAGAAGGAAACTGAGAAAGCAAGCCACAGGTACAGGACTTGAACCACATCAGTCATGTGGGAGCCCAGCACCTCAACCACCATACCACCCACTGTCCCCAATATTGAATTTTTTTAAAGAATTATTTTATTTAACTTTATTTATTTATTTATTTTAATTTGACCAGAAAGAGAAAGCAAGCCCTCAGGCCTGGGACTTGAACCATGATCAGCCATGTAGGAATCCAGCACCCTTAACCACCCATGCCACCTGCCAGCCCTGAATTTTTTTTTAACTACACTCTTTTTGTTTGTTTAAGTGATGATCAAGGCCCTAAAGTTGTGACTCTTGTAGTTAGCTAACTATTGAAAACTCAGGTTTTTACTTTTAGACCTTTCCTTGAATGAAACAAAGACTAATAAATGTATAAAATATATTCAGTATTCCAAAGGATTTTTATTTTCTGAGACAAAAAACAATAAAAATTTAAACATGAAAACATGAGGACCCACATTTATAGAGGCATGTAAGAGCAGACTGAATGACCAAAAACAGTAAATAGAAAAATTAATGACAGTGATAGAGAGTACTCCTTTTAGAATGAGAAAAATCTCAGCTACACACTTCTTTTCATTTTTTTTTCTCAAGATCTTATAAATAAAACACAGCAATTTCACATAAGCCAAGTCTTGATCATCAGCTATCACAAACTGCTATGTTACTGGCAGATGGATAAGCAGATGGGACATTTTCATAGCCTTTTCTACTCATGGAGTCCAGCCAAAAATCATTTTCCAATGTCTTCCTAAGAAATACAGTTAATTACTGCAGTCATGACTGAAAGCCCACTCTGAGAATCAGAAGGAAAGACAACAGTATTTGGAGTGTCTATGCATACATATTGCAAATTTCTTCTTTCCCTTTTTAAAAAATTTGCCAGAAGGTACATGTACTCCCTAGAGATAGAGAAACAGCAAAAGAGATGAACAAAGTACTTCTTCAATGGGGCATGGTCCCACTGCAATCCTTCCTCATACATGTTTCCATCCTTCCAGGATTTGGGGCATGCAAGCATATATGCCCACCTTTCAGGATTTGGGGCATGCGAACATATACACCCAAGCATGCTTCTCAAGCCACCCAGTCTGAGGCCCAGAATTGCGTAGTTGGCCATGTGGGACCTGACTTCCTTAACTACTAGATTATGGGGTCAGCTATCTTTGCAAATTTTCTAAAATTGACAGCATGAAAGGAAAAAAAAAGAAAAAAAAAAAAAAAGGTAAAACAGAGTTAATTTTGGGACCAGCAGATGACATAATGGTTACCTCACTAGACTCCCACATGATCAACCATGGTTCAAGTCTCAGACTTGGTGGCTTGAAACTCACACCGAGCACTTATACATACATACGAGTTCAAAATCCCAAGAGGAGAATGGAGGAGAAGAGACTGCAGCATAGCTGTCCCCTCTGGGGTTTATTTCTCGCTTTCTGTCTCTCCTTCTCACTTTCTGTCTCTCTTTCTCTAGTGAGTACACACACCCTATATTGAATCTTTTTTAAAGAATTATTTTATTTAACTTTATTTATTTATTTTAATTTGACCAGAGAGAAAGTGAAAAAAAAAAAAAAATGGGGGATGGTCCCATTGCAATCCTTCCTCATACAAGAGGAAGAGCAGACTGAATGACCAAAAACAGTAAATCACTGTAATTAATTTTTCTCTTTAAAAAAAAAAAGAGGCGATTTTAACAGCCTAAATTCTATCTCATGTTAAGTTCAATAAAAATCAAAAGATTTTATTTTACCTAAGTGATATGACTTACCCTCTTATACAACAATTGGAGTAATATAATTTTTTAAATCGAGAAGTATATATAAATTGGGGGATTACAATTTTTAAAGTTTTATATACCACCTTATAATTAGTTGTGAGTACTATAAGTTATTCCAAAAGGTTCACCCAAAGGTTCATATTTACTTTTTTTGGGGGGTAAGGATTTTTGCCTTAGGCCACATATGCTCATGAGAGAGAGAGAGAGAGACAGTGAGAAATCATCCCCCAGGAGATCCCCCATTCTCTTTCTGGGATCTTGGGCACGAATGTACACGCACCTGAACTGAGTTTCAAGTCACTGGGTCTAGGACTCGAACCTCGGTTGATCATGTGGGAATACAGCAAAGGAACCCCCACGCCATCTGCTGGCCTCCATATTTATTCTTAAATGCTAGCTAAAACAAAGCATTTCTTCTTCATAATAATTTCTTCTTTGGAAAAAACTATATTAAGTGACAACTGAAAAGTATCGGGGCCAGCAGGTGGCATGGTGGTTAAGACAGGGGAACTCCCACACGGCTGACTGCAGCTCGAGTCCTGGGCCTGGCAGCTTGCTTTCTCACTTTCCTACTCTCTCTCTCTCTTTCTCTGGTCAACTTCAAAAAAATAAAATCAAAATAATGACAATGAATAAAATTAAATAAATCTTTATTAAAAAAAGTATCCATAAAAATCAGTGCAATAAATAATGAATTAAGTTTTCATTTCATATTTAGTTTCTATAAGATGCAATTCTAGAACAACCAAATAAAAAACAGAGTAAGCATGTTGGAAGAGAAAGAAAGGGAAGTATAAGAAAGATGTTTAAGAGCAAACAAATTCCATCATCCTTGGAGATTTCTTAAAAGACTGTTTAAAAGTCATTTCCCGGGGCCAGCAGGTGGCGTGTCAGTTAAGGTACTGGACTCCCACATGGTCAATCATGGTTCAAGTCTCGGACCTGGCAGCTTGCTTTCTCACTTTCTCTCTCTCTCTCTTTCTCTCTCTCTCTCTCTTTCTATCTGGTCAGGGCACATGCCTTGTAGTAAATCAAAAAATAATAGCAATGATAGATAAAATTATATAAAAATAACTATTTTAAAATAAAAAATCTCCCCTGCAGGGGTGACTTCTCACTTTCCCTGTCTCTGTCTGTCTCTCTGGTGAGCATACATGCCCTATTGCAAAAATCTAAAACATCAAAAAGAATTAAAGAAAAAAAAAAACTCATCTAAAATAATACTTCTGCTCTCAACTAATTAATTTAGATTTATGAAATACCAGATTTACTCAAATTTTTCTGATTCCCTTCTGTTGTTTCTATTCCTTTTTTCCTGCACCAATTCTCTCCAGAAGCAATCAGATTGCTTACTTCCCCTTACGGTCAGCCAAAACGGGCCCTTACCACCGCAAGTAAAGCGTATCATGCCCACAAAGTCCTACTTCCCAATGAGTTCCAAGCAAATACTCCAATTTCCAGGCCTGCTGAAAGAGAACGCTAGCATGTAGTGTCAAGGCCCTCGCCACATTCCCAGACTGCTGCCTCCTTCCCACTCTGCTCTGCATCCAGCAGACCAGCCCCACTAAGAACACAAGAAATTCTGCTTCGCTACTGCAAAACAAATACAATATGGATGTCATGGAACTTACTGGCTAGTCTATTATTTACATCTGTTAGTCTGATCATTGCTAAATCTAACAGAAAAGACATAAAATGATTTTCTAAATTTGGCTTCATTATAATACTAAGGAAATAAATAAATAAGAAGAATATTACTAACCGAGTAAAATATTCCAGTGCTTTTTCTATGTAGTCTACAGCTTTCCCATCAAGATAATCAACTAGTGCTGTTTTTGCCATCATAAGATGGCATTCGCCCAAGCCTAAAATCAAGTAAGTTGGTAGTTGTCATTAAAACATATACAATAAACACTCCAAATACAGTTATATTTTTTGGTGTTATTTTTAAATCTACCTTCCAGAAAAAAAAATTAAAAAAACTTAAAAGTATCTTTAAACATGTTCTTGTATACATGTAGCAAAATATTCAAATGGTAGAGTTCTGTTGGAATAAAACATGTACTAAAAGTTATATAAAATTACCTATGGAATCTAAGAATTTCCTTGACTTTGTGCAAGTTGCTTACTTCTTGAAAACTTCAAAATGGGGATATATTCATGTTACTCTTTATTGTATTACCACTTATTAACTATATTGAAACACGATTTGATCTTTTATATTAAAATGTGTGGCAAAATACTGGGTCATCACTTTTGGATAGAAAACACAGAAAAAGACATCATGACTTTCCAGAGACCTAATATTTTGTAAGAACTAAACAAAATAGCAATTTCTTGAAGTACTTAGTACACATTTCATAGGTGTGAGCTCTTCTCTTGAGGAAAAAGTTAAAATTTATTTTTAATTAATTAAAAAAAAGTTTCAAGTCTTGAGTTATATGTCACTTAAAACATATAATATTTCTGATTTAAATCTCGCTTATTTAAAAAGAAAAGGAATAAGGGGAAAGCATATATAATAAGCTCTAAGCTCCAGGCTTTTTAAAAAAATGTTTAGATATAATCATAAAATATTTAGATTATATATGGATGATGATGTTCTATTTGATATTACTAAAAATAAGAAGAAACAGGTATTTACAGAGAGACTGAAATCAATTTAAGTCATTACAAAAAACAGTACAAGTTGCCTCTAAAGTTTAACCTTTTTTTAAGTAAGTATTTATAATTGAAATTAATATTAAAATATTCTGGGAATATAGTGAATTAACTATCAAGACATAAGAGAAAGAAAGCTCTTGATTTAGAAATCTATTCTTTTTTTGAGATATTTTTGCTATAAGGTCATGTGCTCGCCAGAGAGAGAGAGACAAAAGCGAGAAATCACCCCCCGGGGATGGGGGATGGCCATGCCACAATCCCTTATCCTCCATTCTCCTCTTGGGATCTTCGGTGTGCACACACGCACACACCCGGCGTAAATTGTAAGCTTGCGGGTATGGGATTCAAACCATGATCGACTACATGGGAGTTCAGCAACATAACCATTACACTATCTGCTGGTCCCTTAGAGATCTATTTTCAGATTCAATATTATCATGTCATTTATCTAAAACGTGATATCTCTATCATACTGCTATTTATTAGCTGCTAGGAAACAAGACTTGATGTTTTTCATATTCAAATCTATATAAATAATAACATATAAAGTTTATACAGGATGTCTGCTGTTAACTAAAGTTCTTTTCAGGTTATTCAATACATTTAGGCAGGAATTTTATTCAAGGATTTTCTACTTGAGTATCACAAAAGTTCAAGGAGCTATTAAAAAGCAATTACCTTTCAAAGCAGGCACATAATCTTCTTGTTTTTTAATGATCAGCTGGTACTGAGCTACGGCCTCCTTGTATTTGCCCAGGATTTGCTGTATTGCTGCAACCTTAAACACGCTGTATGTGGATTCTGGGTTCAGCTCGCTGGCTTTGGTGAAGGATTTCAAGGCTGTAGTATAGCCACCTCTGCTGAGGTACGCCTCTCCTAGGGACTCCCAACAATTGAAGTCCTTCGGGTCTGCTCTTAACGCTGCCTGTAAACTAAAATGTCAAGAAAGCGTGTGAGAACTAAAAGTAACAGAACTACTTCCATAGTTGAAGAGAAAATATAAGTAACTCAACTGCATTGCATATATCCATTGCTCCTATTTATAAGTGCGCCAGTTAAAGTAGCTATATCTCTTCCTTTTATTGACTTGAATTTTTTTAGTACTAAAAAACTTTACTACAATTTTGGTATAAATAAGAGCAAAATCCTTTTCTGAAAGAGTGCTGACCAGAATTCCTTTTCCTTGCTTATCTGGAAAAATTCGTTTTCCATCCTTCCAGGACAGATGTACAACACAGTATGCTTCCTCAGTCTGTACACACCCACCACCAATCCCTCTACCAAACAGAAATACAGAAATAATGGTATGTCTTAAATTTCTGATCAAATTCCATTGCCATGACAAATTTCAAAATGCCTAAAGCATAGATATTAACATAAGCCAGAAACAACTTCATCTTAATATAAATATACCCTTAAGTACAATCTGGAACTAAAATACTAAAGTCAATCATATATGAGTTGCTCCAAATGCCCCTCAAGTCGCCAAATGTCTTTTGCTAAAAACGATGTATGTCAGCAGG